CTGGCAGGACGCTACAAAACACAAGTCTCTTCATGAAAAGTATTCGAAGCATATATGTGGTAGAATTGTTATAGAAAATTTGAGTTACCAGACTTCTTAAAGACAGCATTTTATGGCATTGAACAATAAAATAATCTAATTAAGGTGTTTACTCACCGGCTTGTTACAAACTGAAAGTTCAGGAACTTCTGAACATCCCTGAAGAAAAAGAAAAGAACAACATGTACAAGAAATGTGTGGAGTAATTGGAGTCGGACATTTTACTCGATGAGTACAAACAACGACAACAACAAAGAGAACAGAACAAGACCCATATCTGGTTTCCAAGTTAGCTCACAAGTTTAAAAAAGATGTATGTTTTGTCTTTGTTTCCAGTTTTCCTTGAATGAGCACGTGGTATAAAATAAAAGAAGTTCTGTGAAGTATTTGATAATGAGTTATTTAAAGATTTAATTAAGAAGAAAACACGCCGTTTTGCCAGCAATAATCTGTTCCAGTTTGATAGAATTAAACTCAGTTTTAGCGGTGCGTGCCTAAAATTGAAATAAAAGATGATGCTCAGTAGCAACATGTGTCTTTAATTCCTCAAAGCTCACCAAAGCAAGTGAAATGCTTAAGCTCAGAACTAGTATGGCAGTCATCATGTTTCTTTCGTTTAACTAAAAGAGCCTAAAGTATACAACTGGGTTGTAGTTCACACTCTAACAGGAAGTTTCAACTGAAACGTTGTTCCTTATACTTCACTATTTTTAAAACAATTTTGAAGTACAGTATTTTCACGGATATTATCAAAAAAAAAAAAAAGCAAGAGCACTTTTTTTAAACATCTTACGTAAACGAAAAATTTCAATGTGGTAATGTGTAATTTCAACTGTTTGTACGCATACACCGCAAGGGTCATGATCGAAACGCATGCGAGTGGAACCCTTGATGCCAGACAAGGGATTTCAATCGTGTCCACCCAGAATAGCATTATTTCATGTGTTGTAAGACTAAAAAAAAATAAAATTCTACAGCACAGACACATCCGCCTGTATATTAGGACGA